CTATAATTCCCTTTGAGGATTTAAAAAAATTTTTTTTAAATAATTCTTTATTGTTGGAAGTATTACATATGTCCCCTTTCCCCCCCCATTAGCCCCCTCCAGCCTGTCCCCCTCCACCCCTGCCCCAGGCTCTCAGCACCCTATTGTCTGTGTCCATGGGTTATGCATATATGTATACAAGTCTTTGGTTGGTTACCTCCCACCCACTCACACTCCCCTTCCTTCGCTCTGGGATTCCACACTCTGTTCTATTCTTCCATGTCTCTGGATCCACTCCGTTCATCAGTTTATTTTGTTACTTAGATTCCACACATGACACTTGGGACACTTGTTTTTCTCTGACTGACTTATTTCACTTAGCATGATACTCTCCAGTTCCCTCCATTTTGTCTCAAAGGGTAAGAGTTTCTTGTTTTTTACTGCTGCATGGTATTCCATGGTATAAATGTACCACAGCTTTTTTATTCACTCATCTACTGATGGGCACTTGGCCTTTCAGGATTTTTGACTCCTTTTTCAAATTTCAGTTACTTTCCTTTATAAGATAGGGATTTGAAATCTTAAAAATTTGCTATACAATCATCATTCTTAAAAGTGAGCTTATACCTAAAGCTTGGCAACTACTTATATGTGTCTTGAGTTATACAGTGGGGCCTTGACTTACGAGTTTAATTCGTTCCATGACGGAGCTCGTAACTCAAATTACTCGTATGTCAAATCAAGTGATGCTGGGCTGATGTTGTGGCGTTCACTCTGAAGTCCGCTGCACCAACTAGCGGTGGGGTATCTAGCGGTGGGGTAATATCGGCCGAGAGATGGCTCGTATCTCGAAAAACTCATTAGTCGGGATGGCTCGTATCTCGAAAACTCATTAGTCGGGACACTCGTAAGTCAAGGCCCCTCTGTAAAATGAAAACCAATTAGTTAAATACTAGTTAATTAGGAATGTAATGTGCTCTCCAGGATTTTCATAAAATAAATTTTTTATAAGATAGCTTTATTTTATGAAAGCCTTGGCCCTTTAAAATGTTGGCATTAACCCAAACATCTGAAATTCTGTGCTGCAAATAATGAATACTACAACTGCTGATTTATTAGCTAAAGGAAGTTACTCACATTTATAAATCAGAATAGTTAGTGTTTTCAGTTTAATTTTTCTGCCTTTCATTTTAATTTCTCAGAAAATTCTATGATGCATGATTATAGGATAGCAAATTTAAAACTCAGTAATGAAAATTTCTTTAAAATATTCAATATTAGCTTTTTGGTATATTTTGATAATTTTAATATTTCTATTCATAGAACGTTATCAATTTTAGTTTCTATTGAGGAGTAGGGATCTTTAATCCTTTTCTGGGAAGGAGCAACAGTCTGTCTAAAGATTTGGGGGTAACAGTGTAGACTGTAATCAGGAGAATAGACGATGCTGGTGGTGCTTCTAAGATTTTCACTGGGATTAGGTGGTGGGGATACATGAAGAGGTATTTTCAGCTTTCGGGCATGGTAGTAGCATTCATTTTCTCTAAGCTGTGCTGAAAAATCCTCAAAAGGGAAGGACAAGTTGGCAATTTCCCTTCCTAGTTGAAATGCCTGTGACTCTGCTGGTGGTAGTGGTAGATATAGACTTCCTATCTTCCAAATATGGAATTGCTTTTTTAAAGAATGAACCATTTAGAGACATGATTAGATGTCTTTTTTAAAGTTTGATATATTACTGCATAATGTTATAATGGCATTTTGTTGATTTTTGAGTTGCCAGAATGAAGAAAGACCATTAAAGCTCTAAATTTTTGTGAATATGTTAGCTAGGGTGTGTGTATGTATGCATGCATATGTGGAGAGAAAGAAGATTGAGATATTATCCTAAACATTTTCAAGGTTTTTGAAGCATTTAAAACTTACATTGTATGCGTATAGTCCCATGGAGATATTAGTTTCTGTTGTTAGCTACACAAAATGAAAGATACTTTGACCCCATTGTTCAGAATCTTCTTTTTTTTTTAAGAGCAAAATTCCTTTTGTTATACTATCAAGATAACTTTGGTCCAGCACATTGCCACTCTTGAAGCCTGCGAAAATTTATGTGAAATGGTAGGAATTTATATAAACTTTGTATAACATGTTGAAAGCATATGCCATACCACTTATTTTCTATTTCTATAACTGTGCTATGATGAATTATTAAAGACAGAATGAAATGTTTAAGCAAAATACGTAGCCAGGAATTGGTTATATAGTAGGAGTATTAATGACATGTTATAAGTTATTTAGATTCATTATGATGACTTATTATTTTAGTTTTCTTCTTTGAATTAAAAAACCCATACATTAAAATTTCTTAAACTAAATAATTTTCACCAATATATTTAAGTTTTATATTATACTAGAGGCCCAGTGCACAAAATTCATGCATGGGTAGGGTCCCTAGGCCTGGCTGGTGACTGGGGCCTTCCAGCTGCCAGCCGGGGCCTCCCTTCGTTCCACGCCGCCTGCTGGTGGTCAGCACATGTCATAGCGAGCGATCAAACTCCCTGTCGAACTCCCGTGGGGACACTTTGCATATTAGCCTTTTATATATATAGATATCTGAAGTACAGAGTAGCTAGGTCATTTTGATATCTGTATAATAGGAAAGAAACGTATTTTTTGTAGGAATACATAGAAATAACAGAAATTTCAAGGTTTATTCCAGGCTTAATCGGTTGTTTTTTAAGGATTTATTACATTTGCAATACAAAGATAGAGTATCTATTATGTACCAAGCACTTGTTACAGGGGGTGAAGATACAGTGATGAGAAACAACACTGTATATGCCCTTGAAAAAACCCCAGTCTAGGAGGAGACAAGCGAGTCACCAGAAAAGTTACAATATAGTGTGGCAAGTGCTTCCATAAAGGTGTGCATAAAGATCTGTTGCTTAGGAATTTTTAGTTTGATTTTATATTTTAAACCTATTTGAGGTTAAATTTTTTATTAGACCTAATTATGCACAGAAGGAAAATATTCACTATCTATATATATATATAAAAACCTAATATGCAGAGTGTCCCCTCGGGAGTTTGATCGCTCACTATGACGTGCACTGACCATAGGGGGCAGTGTGGAATGAAGGAAGGCCCTGGCCAGCGGCCAGCAGCCGCAAGGGACCCTACCCATGCATGAGTTTCGTGCACTGGGCCTCTAGTCTTTATATATTTGAGGAAAGTATATTGTCATGCTAATTTCTCTGATTTTACTAGACTGGCTGTACTAGATACTAAATCTTACAAGCCTGTTATTCTGAAGTATACTTTAGGAACTGAAATTAAAGAAACATTTACGAGTTTAGGTATATAAAGAGATACTGTTTTCTATGTATTTAAAATGTGTTGACTTTTATAAGCAGACATTGTCTACATCCCTTTCATAGATGTTTTTACCCCCAAAGTTAAGTTTGCATATTAAAATGAATAGAATTCTAATTATAGCTGCTCTTAAAATTGAAATATATAAATTTTTGTATAACATTATTTCTTACCTTAAAACTTAATCAAACTAAAATTCAGCCCTGGCAATACTATGATCCTTTTGATATACTAAAAGGTATTTTTCTGTTAAGTAAAATGAATAAGAAAATCATACCAGTATAATGATGTTATTTATAAATTCATAAAGTACCTTTATTTTAGTTCATTGCAGCTATGACATGCCTTTTGTTTCTTATTATTATAATTAATTTTCCTCAATTTGATCTCTGTCCATATTTTTGATGTCCTGACTTTTCCATGAGTGTTTAACGTGCATGTCGTGAAATTTAACAATCTGTGGCTTCAAGGTTTTGAATCATGCTTAGAATGACAGATTTTTTTTGTAAAAATTTTTCTCATGATTCTTTTAGTACTTTTATTGTTTTAGAGGTGGTGGGAGTGCACATGCATTTTTTAAAAGTATATCTGGAATTTATTTAAGAGTAAATAATAACTTAAGAGATTTAACCTCCCTCTCTCCAGTTGGATACTCAGTTGTCCCAATATCATGTATTGAATAGCCCTTTTTCATGCTGTTCTGAACTGCTTCTCTTCCTTATTTTCTTTGTACTATTTATTTGTCTGTCTGAGCTTATTTTTTAGTGGGAGAAATATTGACAAATAAGAAAATGATAAGTAAGAGTAAAGTCTATAATTAAAAAAGGCCGAGTAACCTGGTAGCCAGTGACTGGAGAGTTTCCTCTTTGAGAAGGTAATATTACTCTGACCTGAATATCAAGGAGGGAGTAGCTATGCTAAAAAATCTGGTGAAATACAGTGGGGCCTTGACTTACGAGTTTAATTCGTTCTGAGACTGAGCTCGTTAAGGAGCTCGTTAACTCAAATTACTCTATCAACTCAATGCAAAAAATCAGCCGAGAGACAGCTGGTATCTCAAAAAACTCGTTAGTTGGGACACTCGTAAGTCAAGGCCCCACTGTAATTTTTCACATAGAAGAATTGACCCCAGGGTGGAAATGATCTCCATCTCTTCCCAGAGTAGAGTGATTATAGGAATGTAGTGAATGGAGGGAAGAGTAGTGAGAGGTAATAGTTGGAGAAGAGGGCCAAGGAGAAAGCATGTTTTATGTAGGGATTTGTAGGTCAGATGGAGGAATTTGGATTTTATTTTAACTGAAGGAAACTATTCAAGAGTAGTGTTTAAGAATTTAAATGATCTACGGTGAATTTTTTTATTTTTTTTTCTCCTACAAAGAGAGGAAATATAGGAGATTAGATAATTTGTATATCAAATAAATAGGTTCTTATGTAATTAAGAGTTTATTTCTATATACATGTGACCCTATAACAAATTTACTTCATTTTTAAATAATTTTACATTTAAAGAAAACAGATTTTTAAAAATCATAAGTACCAAGAGTTTAGGACTCAAAGGATAAAGAATCTGCTTGCACTAAATAGGACTCTTTAAAGGACAATTGTATGATGTGTTTTAAAATAATATATTTTTTCTCTTAAAATGTTTCTATTAGGGAACAGACATCCTTGGAAGAGGGAGAAATTCCTTGGTTGCAGTACAATGAAGTCAATGAAAGCAGCAGTGATGAGGGAAATGAGCAGGCTAATGAATTTGCACAGCCAGAGGCTTTCATGTTGGATGGTAACAATAACCTTGAGGATGACTCCAGTGTGAGTGAAGATTTAGATGTGGACTGGAGGTAGGTAGCAGTGTTATCACCATGCTTAATTGTTCGTTGAGTAGAATTTGTTTATGATTCTAAATTATGAAAACTGAATCTCTGATAGCTAACAAGTATTCTTATTTCCCCATCTTCTTCAAAGCTCATTTCAGAGGTCACTTCCTACAGGGACACCTTCCTACTTATTCCAGTCAATGACCTCTTCCATCTTTGACATTTAGCTCTCTTGAAGTTCACCTTATTATATCCCAGTGAATTATACACTCATGGTTTGAGATTTCCAACTTTTAAATTTACCCTTATATGCTAAATATAGCACTTAGTATAATCCTGTGTGTGTTGTTGTTGTTTTTTTAAACAAGGTCCTGAATATTATTTGAAGAATTTTAAACCTGTCATTGGATCAGAATCATAGAATATAATTTTCCTTCTTTACATATTTTGAATAGAAACTATAATTGTACTTACCCAGAAATGTTATAAGTATTAGATTTAGGCTGACAAAGAACAGCTTCAAGTAAAAGTAACATGAATTAAGTGCATTACGTCTCATGATGGTTAGAATAGAGTATCTTTCAAGTGTGCAGTAGCCCTTTGTAAGCAGCTAATTATTGAGATGAGGAAAGGATGTTCCAACTGATCATTTTTGTTATTTTTTCTAGGAAAAATATGGCTTAGTACTACTCATGTTTGCATGTCTGCACAGAAATGTTTTAAAGAATATGTCTTGTTCTTTCCAGTAAAAATATCATTACAGAAAATTTAGAAAAATAAAGATGATAAAAACTCATTTCTATCCCCTGATATCTCCACAAATTTTATTTTTTTAAGGCATCCTATACATCTTCAATTTCTCTTTCTGTGTGTGTAGCTACTTTGTGCTTCTCCATACACAAAACTCAATATCTCCTTGAAATCCTTCTTACCGTTTCTGTTCTCACTTCCATGGGGAGGTGGGGAGGTGGAGAATTATATGTGCAGAGCAGATTTCTATTGACCATTTTGTGGAAGTACAAGTGGAATTTTATCACAGCCACAAAAACAATCTGTATTTTTATCTTAAACATTCCCTTTCTCCAGAGCCCATTTTCTGGCTTCCCAAACATTATGGAAAATCAGTGACTTCACCTAGTCCTAGCCTTGCTGATCTTCTTCTATCTGCCCTCTTACTGAACTCATTTATTCTGGTGTCTTATCTCTCCATGTGCAAAGTCATTCATTCCTCAAAGAACTCAGCAGATGACAGAATTATCTATTTAGATCAGCGTTTGCCAACCGATGATCCACGGACCATTGGTGGTCTCTGAGGTCCGAAAGGTTAGCGACCACTGATTTAGATCATCTGTGTATGTCAGGAGGCAATTTTGGTTTCATTTTTATCTATTGCACATTTTGAAAATTTTGTAAAAATAATTTTTTTATATATCTTTTTATTGATTTCAGAAAGGAAGACAGAGGGAGAGAGAGATAGAAACATTAATGATGAAAGACAATCAGTGACTGGCTGCTTCCTGCATGCCTCACACTGGGGATTGAGCCCGTAACCCAGGCAGGTGTCCTGCCCGGGAATCAAACCGTGACCTCCTGGTTCATAGGTTGACGCTCAACCACTGAGCCATGCTGGCTGGGCTGTAAAAATAATTTTTTACAGCTCCTTTATGACGCTCCATTCTATAGAAGGAAGGCCTACCCTTGCACGAATTTTGTGCATCGGGCCTCTAGTGTTAATATAATTATGTCTTCACCATAAAGATTTCCCAAATCATGGTCGTATTTTTTTTTCCAGTCTGTTTGATGGCTTTGCGGATGGATTAGGAGTTGCTGAAGCTATTTCTTATGTGGATCCTCAGTTCCTCACCTATATGGCACTAGAAGAACGCTTAGCCCAGGCTATGGAGGTATTTTAATGACTCTGATGCCCATGTATGTTGGTGGGGTGCACAATAAGAAAAAGTAAAATATTTTTAACTGCTCTTAAGAAAAGGTGAATAATTTCCTTATCAATTTAATAACAATTACTGATTACTGATTGCTACCAGTGTGTGTATATAAATTACACTTGACATCCTGCCAATTTTCCTAAAATTTTTACTACAGAATGGAAAATGTTTTGCTTACATTTATAATACAGTGGGGCCTTGACTGACGAGTGTCCCGACTAAAGAGTTTTTTGAGATACCAGCTGTCTCTCGGCCGATTTTTTGCATTGATTTGATAGAGTAATTTGAGTTAATGAGCTCCTTAACGAGTTCGGTCTCGGAACGAATTAAACTCGTAAGTCAAGGCCCCACTGTATACACTTTCCTCTATAAAATTATATGGGTCTATGAATTTGAAAATTTTATACACACATGCACAGGTATATTTGTGAAATGAAATTGAAAATCTCTAAGAATATATTACAAATCACTTTCCTTTTTTTGTTCATACAGATTCTAAATAATATCTTTTGCTTAATGCATACACATTTTAATAAATAGCATATTTGATTTCTAAGTTTTTTGTCTTGCCTTCTGTCTTTTTATTTAATCATTTTGAAAAATGAAGCTAAAATGTATAATTTATCATTTTTTTCTTTTAGATTTAACCCTAACATTCTTTAAGTGAAACTAAAACAAATAATAAGACAAACTGCTTTTATTTGTTTTTTGTTTTTTTCTCATGAAGCCCTAACTCTTTGTTTTTATTTCTGTTATTTTTCAATAGTAGACTGATCTTTCTTTTCAGGTAATGGTTGTTAAGAAAATAGTGTCAATAAACATTTGCTTCATAGCTGTGTCTCAAATTTGAATGAGAATAGGGCAAAATAGTTAAGGTTTGAAGCTTATTACTTGCTCCCAAATTTTTGGGGAAAAAGTATCCCTGCCATTATATTGACATCTAAAAATTTATAGCCTAGATTCTAAGTAATATTGTTTATCCTATGATATCTCTTTGCAGTAAAAATATGTTTAAGAATTTAAATGTAAAAAGTAAGGTAAGTTGAGTTAAAATTGTTAGGAGTAGTGATGAAAAACAAATGTTCACTTAAAATTTATTTTTAATTAAATTTATTGGTTAATAAACATATAGATTTCAAGTGTTCAAGTCTATGATGTGTTATCTTTATATTGCATATAATAGTTTTGGTAAATAATTATTTAAACATAAAGTAAAATTTTTCTGGTAAAATGCATCTCTTAATGAAATGGAGGCTTTTTCTCCCTAGTTACCTTATCAGTGAGTTTTATTTATTCCTACAATGAGACATAGTTCAGCATCAGTTTTATTTCTTTTTTTTTCATCTTTATGAATATAAGCTTGAGAGACCTTGTTCATGTAAGTTGATAGGAATGGAAGGAATTTATCATAGCCTTTTCACTCAAGTCTTGCTAAAATTACATCAACTTGCCAAGTTGTTTAGATCCTCTTTCAGTTTTTTTGAAAGCAGAGGATTGGAAGCCATCTACAGAGATTTGTTATTCAGTCCGTAGAATTCAGTTTGACCCAAGTATTTCAAATTGCTCCTTTGGATGGGTAAGAAGTATGTTTTTATTTATAAAGTGAGGGATGGTTAGTAGAAAGAGGAATGTAAGAACAGGGTAGCATGTTTCTTCAACTGCAGATGTATTATTAGGTAGATCAGTTTGAGGAAAAATTACATAAGAAAGTTCATTGAAATTGAGTCTCTTTGAGAACCTGCTTACCCTTGGGCCCCTTGAAAAGTCTTTACATACTTAACAGAGCACCCCGCATATACTGAGGTGAAAGCCTCAGGTAGCTAAACATGAGGTTAAGAGCATGGTTTTTGAGATAGATTCTTTTAGGCTATGTGACCTTGGAGAGTTAACTTTTTTAAGCTTCTAGGCCTCGTCTATAAAATGGGAATAAAAAAATTTACTTCATGCGTTATTGTGAAATTGTGTTTAAACACTTAGCAAAATACCTGGTACAGTGGGTACGTTCTCAGTAAATGGATATATTCAAATTAGTAGTCAACTAACTGGTACTTACCTTGCATATCTGGATTCAGTGGTCATTATTAAATCATTTGTTATATAAATCTCCATTCTTTAAAAACTAAATCCTGTTTTATTCTTTAGAAACTAAATTTTGTGCTGACAAAGGAATGCATTACTTTAATCCTAGATATATTCCAGTTAGGCTGTTTAAGCTCTTTAATTGTCTTTCTAACTTTTGAAAATATTTTGTACTTCCTCAGATGTAAATTTTTACATCTTTATAGATTTTCATGGTAGTGGCTATAAAATGGTTTCTCTTGTTCTTGTTACTTATAAGTGATCCCAGATCACCTTAAATATTTGTCAGTATCAAGGCAATAAATTATTTCTATATATATGAAATTCCATGTATTTATTAGCACTGCAAATGTGTAGATAATCATTAGAAAAGAATAATGAATCCATTAAGACAAACATGTTATCAAAATACAGTTAACCTGGAATAACCCCCCCCCAAAAAAAAATGGGACTTATTAAAAATAGTATTTCTTCTTTTCGTTTGTGTATAACACAGATGAATTCTTGCAGAGTCTATCTTGGGAAGTACATAAGGAGCACTCAGGCAGGCAGGCAAGTGGTTATGGGTGATCAGGCAGGCAGGCAGAGTGGTTAGGGGCGATCAGGCAGGCAGGCGAGTGGTTGGGGTGATTATGCAAGTAGGAAGACGAGTGGTTAGAAGCCAGCAGTCCCAGATTGCGAGAGGGATGTCTGACTGCCCATTTAGGCCCAATCCCGCATGGATCGGGCCTAAACCGGCAGTTGGACATCCCCCGAGGGGTCCCGGATTGCAAGAGGGTGCAGGCTGGGCTGAGAGCCCCCCTCTCCATGCACAAATTTCATGCACCGGGCCTCTAGTTAACTATAACGGGATTAGAGTAACAAGGAATTGCTTAGTAAGGAATAAAGATAATTCTAAAGAATATAGAAAAACCATGTATAAGGAAGGGTCACCACTCCCACTCCAGGGCTGGGATTCAGACCTTGATGAAAATGGCATAGCTGTGGCTTAATGAGTGGCAGAGAAGTCACTGGTGCTCTGCTGGCAGAGCTTGCTTGAAATCAGCCCTGTAGGGTGCTAGGGAAAGCTATATTCATAGGGAGATGTCTGACTGGAAGCACTCTGCTACTAAACTATCCAAGGGGATGCTGAGGAATCTGCCTGCCACTTGGTGCTTCTGCTGCATGCATTTCCAGAGCTAGACATTGAGAAGCTGTGCATATTGCAGGAGTCTGGTGCTAGAGAAAGCCACACCTGCCACAGAAGCCTGCCAAGTGGCACACTGGGATCAGAAGCAAAGTCCTTTTCCTCTTACAGGGCCTCCTTAGTGTCCTCTGTGAACAAGCTTAACAACATAACAGTTGTCAGAAGAGAAAATCTTTAAATGGCCCAAATCCATTTTCACAGAGCTGACAAAAATTGTGAATTTGGATCTGAGCCGCAATCATGGATAACTGAAACAGTCATCTCTTTCACTACTTGGGTTCCATATATACCTTTCTGCACACATTTGAATTCCCAACTTACCTATTTTTATGTTGTGTATTTTTTAACAAATTGTTGTTAAATAATAGTTATTTTAATACTGTTGTTCTTTAACCTTTATACTTGCCTAAATTGGTTAATACACCATCATATTACAGTATAAGAGTATTCTGAATTTGACTATATACTTACCTTTACCTAGCACATTTGTTTATCTATTCATAGATACTTGGGTTGTCTCCACCTTTTTGGACTTGTGTATGTAAGTCCTACTGAAGTTCTAATCTAATTGTAGCCAGGAAAGTGAATCATTCCACAAAAGGATGATGGTGACTTGTATTAGATGATCATATATCTAATGTTCTTTCCTTCCTTGTTAGAATAGTAACATTATATAAAATTCTGTACCCCTGAATAAAGTTCATAACCCAGATAACTTAGTAATACTAAATACTAGTGAGCTAGTAATGTGGGTGTGCTGACTCTAAGATAGTAGTAGATACTGCTATTCAGGAATGCATTATTTGGTTGCATACCTTGAACATCTATTAACCATGGCTACATTTTATCTTTCATGAGTTGAACCTGTTCAAAATGTTTACATTTTTTATAGTATTGATCCCATAAGAAACTCATAAGTTGGATGAGGTAGCCACTCTTCTGAAAATATAAATAGGGTGGACAAGTAGATGGTTATTGAAACAAAATAGATTTTTGTTATATTTATGAAAAGTAGGGCTTTTATTTTTTGGTATTTTTTGATGTTTGTTTGATGGTGGTGATGATGGTTCCTTTTGAAAGGAGGCAAAAGGGCAAGGGACTGAAGCAAAGTAAACTAACAGAAGAGACTAATGGTGGATATAAGTTTGGAAGATACCTTAAAAATAGTTTTCTATTACTGCTTTAAAGTGTTTCCTAACAAAGAACTGTGACTTTTATTTTCAGACTGCCCTGGCACATTTAGAGTCTCTTGCAGTAGATGTTGAGGTAGCCAATCCACCAGCCAGTAAGGAGAGCATTGATGGTCTTCCAGAGACACTTGTTCTTGAGGATCACACTGGTAAGAAGGGCAAAGTTGATCTCTAATGCTGAATGACACATTGCATGTTTAAGTATATAATTATATGCACCTAGAAGAAAAAATACTATTATAAACTCTTACTAGATTTTCTATGAAACCAGATTCTGAAAAACTTGTACCTAGTGGAAGAATATTTTTAATTTATTAAGTGATAGGTTGGGACAAATGTTCCCTAGTCAACTTTCTACAAAAGCAATGTTAATTAAATTTCAAATTGTCATGTATTAGAAACATGTTTGACAATTTATTGATCAAAGTCTGGTTCATTTGTCTTTCACAGGCATCATCTATGAGTTCATATGTTGATTTTCAGTTTTATTAAAATTGAACTTTATTGGATTAATATATCTAATTACTTGTTGTTTTTAGCTATTGGTCAGGAGCAGTGCTGTCCAATCTGTTGTAGTGAGTATATCAAAGATGATATAGCAACAGAGTTACCCTGCCACCATTTCTTTCACAAACCTTGTGTCTCAATTTGGCTGCAGAAGGTAAGTTTTAGATTTACTTCCTTTAAGTTAATATTTTAATAGTTTTCTCCTACAACTTAAGGATGACAGTAATGTCTTTTAATCCTATTTATTTTGCTATGTACTTGTAGTACTTTTGAGTTCAGTTTAATTCATTTTAATTAAAGTCAGTTACCTTTTAATGACTATAGATTAATGATAATATCAAATTATTTTACTTTACTGACATTGTCTAAAAACAGTGTAGACAACCTGAACTACTTAACATATTTAATCATATCCCAGAAATTAGGTGTTTTTAGAAATACCTCAAGCAAAGGAGCTTTTGGCACTACTCAGAGTAATGTAATAATATACCGATATTCTGATAATATGTATCAGTGTCTCTTATATGAGAAATGTTTAATAAACTACCAACTATCTTATATTCAAACTTTCATATATTACCCTAAAATATTTATCCCAAAATTTTAAGTATATTTGAATTATATACTTAAAGAAAAAGAGTTTTACTTAAATCTCTGTTAACTCTATTTTTGCATAAAGAATATTTACATGCAGTTTAGTGGAAATTCCCAAATCACTTTCCCAGCTTACTTAGTTATGGAAATAACTCTCTCTTCCCTATAACCGCTCCCTTCTTTTTCCCCTTCCTTTCTTCCTCCCCTCCTCTTCCTCTCTCCCTTCTCTTTTCTTGCTGTTGCTCCCCTTAAAAGTCAAAACTCTACTTAACACTTTTAATATCCAGTGCAGAAAATGTCACCATTCTTTTATAAATTCTAAAGTTTCTGTCTTGGCTTTTAAGGCCTTCTGTGATCTTGCTCCCAGCCTATCTCTGCAGATTTACTTCTGTAACTTCTCATGTTTGCTTAGCCTGGTGTGGTCTTCCTCTACACCTGCAAGATTAGATGGTCCTACTTAAATTTCACCTTTTCTGTTCTTAATATCCCCATTCTTTAAACATCTATAATATTACCAAAGCCTTAATAGGGATTTAGTGTTTTGTGTGTCAGGAACTGCTAGATCAGTGGTTCTCAACCTTTCTAATGTTGCGACCCTTTAATACAGTTCCTCATGTTGTGGTGAGCCCCAATTTCATGGTTACAAATTGAACATAATTAAAGCATAATGATCAATCACAAAAACAATATGTAATTATATATGTGTTTTCCGATGGTCTTAGGAGACCCCTGTAAAAGGGTCGTTCGACCCCCAAAGGGGTCGCGACCCACAGGTTGAGAATCGCTCTGCTAGATGATTCATGTGTATTTTCCCATTTATTCCTCACAATAACTCTGGGACATACAAGATGGGGCAAAAATGGGTCTATAATTGTGAGTACATGAAACAGAGTTTATTCTTGTATTATTATTTATTAATTATTATATTATTTTCCATACAAACAACTGTAACCCTATTTTTTCCCACTCTGCATTGGTATCTTTATTCTCATTTTCCAATGGTTGTTACTTGTACAAGGTTACACAGCTAGTATGTGCTTGTGTAGAAACCACACACATCTATCTGACTCTAAAATGTTGCTGTTAAGGCCCCAATCTGTATGGCAGGTGCCCAACAAAATGTTGGCAGAACTGCTGTCCCTGTCCCACCCTCCCTGTCAGGTCTGTGGTTGATTTGTTTTGTCATTTAGAAAGCATCTAACTCTCCACATCATCATCAGTATCATCACCAGTATTGGTGAGGACATGCCCTGTGACTCCTTGCTCACTCCCTACAGCAGCACAGTGCCAACCAGGGAGTGTAGTGGACTCTCAATGAATAGTCACTACATGAAAGATGAGTGATGTAAAAGATACAAACATGATTAAGAGACACAGTTTACCCTAAAGGAATTAGTGTCTGATTGGGATAAAAGGAAATAGCATCAAAAATTTTCCTCTCTGTACTGTGTAGGTTTGAAGTTTACTTGGTTTTAAGTTTTCTGTTTTGTTTTCAGGATAATGATACTGTTTTGTCTTTCTTAAGATACTTGTGTGGTAGTTAAGGCCTTCTCATTGGCTATGAACTTGTTCTTCTCCCTCCAGTCAGGAACATGCCCTGTGTGCCGTCGTCATTTCCCACCTGCAGTTATTGAAGCATCTGCAGCTGCTTCCTCTGAGCCTGGTCACGATGCCCCACCTTCAAATGACAGTACTGCAGACGCTCCTTAAACCTTAACACTTGAATGAGATCATTCTATAAAGTAAATCTGAAAATTCCTTCTAAACCTGATGTGCAAATAATTATATATAAATATATTAAAATGCTATATATAGTCTATGCCATAGTTTAGAAAGAGAATATTGACCTTTCTAAACTAAGTGTAGGTTTGCAGAAAGTACTAACATTTTCAAGCTGAATGTTGAAGCAGTACATCCAGTTTTTTTTTTAGTTGAAGGTGTTGATATTAATTGAAAAAGTCAAGCTGATCATTTGACTCTCTCCAGAAGAAATAATTATCTGTGTGGCACGCGTTACTAGTTTTGTCTGAATATTGCCACTAAGTGATTATAATTAGCTCTCCTATTTGCATCAAATGTGAAGACTATAATCACAACAGTAGTAAAGTTTGGTTTCATTGGAAATAAAAAGAATTCTAAAGCATGCTTTTTCATTGGTCCCTTTGCTTTTGCTACATCAAAACCTCTTGGTTTATAATACTGAGTGGTTTTTTAGGAAGGTGTCTAGTCTTCCATCTTTGTTTAAAATTAGGACTTTTAAAGAATTTCAAACTGGCTAAAATTGTGGCTGAGCATCACAAAATTTCAAAATCTTATATGTAACCCCCTGGAAATGGTTAGGTAGTAAGATAAATTATTTTTTTAATGTTGGATGTGCTTAAAGTCAGGTTAGTAAAGCATATGAACTATCTAGTGTGCTCAGCGCCTGGTGAATTAGATGGCCTTATAGAAATTCTTTCTACTTGGTTAAAATGATACTTGAAGGTTCAGAACACTCCTGCCACATTTGTTTAATAACTATTAGGTATAGTTATTGTAAGGTGATTTTGGTTCTGAAATATTTTAGAAAGTCTGAAAACATGCATAAAGGGTTTTTAACACTCATTCTATTGTATCCTAAAGGAAAATCTGAATCCTTAAAAAACGATGTTAACTGTTCTGACTTGTATAAAGCATAAAATTGATGGGGTATAGGACAAAATTGGTCATACCTTTTTTACAACATATCTAAACTTTACTATGTTATAATTTATTTCTTTAAAGTTTCCTGAACAAATATTATTTATATCACATTATCAGTATTTGTTTCTTTACACTAATTTATTTTGGTAAAATTATTCACCTGGAACTAAAATAAAAATAAGTAGTTTCAAATTAAGCCGAATTAAGCCATGACTGAAAAGGAAGTAGATTATATGATTGCCTAGTGACTGTGTGAACAGAACTTAACATGTAACACAGCTTCTTTCTTATTTTCCTTTGTTTAAAGGAGAAAAGAAGATCCTGACCTCAGATTTACCCTCTAAAAGAGTTTTCTGTTCAAAAGCTTCTACAAAAGTAAGGAAGTCAGCTTTCCTTATTCTTTTTATGGGAAATTGACCTACAAGGCCATCTTTGTAATTACATAACCCCCAACGAAGACTGCACAGCTTTCTGCTTAGGTGATCTCACCCAATAGACAATTATGTATAAACATGGATGCAATATTTAACTTACGGATATGATTTGATATCAAACACCAGAGAATGATGGCTGTTAGAATACCATATTTGAGCAAGTAAAATAGTAAAGCACATAGTGAGTGTACATCCATTTGAGTAGAAAATTTATAATTTAGTTTGGACATATAAAAGGAATATTTATGTGGCTTCCCAAATGCAAAATTACATTTATATGTATAATTTCTCTGAGTATTTATATTCCATCTCTTTTCTTTATTCTTAAAAATAAGTGAATTTTCACTGTTGTCACATTTGAGGCTTAAATATAAGGAATATAACACTTGCATTCTAATTTTTGCATATATTGTAAATGTGTCTGGTATTTACAGCAAATACTGTGTATCCTTTTATGAGTAAAACAAACTGAACATTGCATGTATGTGATGTGGTGACTTTGTAACTTAGGGGTTCTTTGGGCTTCTGTGACTTTGGAAATGCTTACATTCAGGCCTTAATGTTGCATTAGCTGGCATGTTTTCCTTCTGATGTACATAGTCTCTGTTGTATAAACTAATCTTTGCTTGTTTTCTACTCTGTGATCTTTCCACACCATATTTCATTGATCAGTTAGTGTCAAGGAGTCAAATCAGATTAAAATTAATTCTCATGTGTATATTGTGAAAATTTGTGACTAGTATGATTTTGTTTGTTTCCTTTTTGGTTTCCAGAAATTTGTGGCTAGTGTTTTTTTATGTTGTTGTTTTTCCCTTTAAGTAATATTGATCAGTTACTGGTTAAACTGACTGCTACAGATTTCTCTTTAATAAGCCACACGTTATATTTAGGCAGTATTAAGGGAGCTTGGTTTTCTTCTCCTAGATAGCAGTTGTCCCAAAGAATATATTTCTTCTTTGCCTGTTAAGATTTAGCTATTATCTGCCAGTTGTTAGGCGGTTTTGGTTCCAAACTCAACCAGCAGCGTTGAGAGCTGAACTTAAGATAGCTGTTGTACTTTTTGCTTTCCATCTGTTTCTGTCCTTCATTCTTGGCTCTCTGTTATCTATAAACAGCTGCTATGAAGGAAGAAAGTTAAATAAGAGTTGGATTATAAAAATTTTTTAAAAGAAAATTGAGGTTTTAGGTATTTTCATTGTAACAAGCTGATAAAAGCTGAGGCTGACAAGTTCAGACACCAGAATATTGTTTGATCAGATTTTGGATCCTTTTGAAAAAGTTAAGACTACATGAAGGTAAATTAGAAATAAGTATAAATAATAAAAATGTTTTTTCCCTTATTTCTCTATTATATGTTAAGTTACTTGACCTAATAATTTTTCTTTTACATTTTCTTCTTGTAATATAAATGCTGATATTTAAAGATAGATCCATATGGTTTTCTTCTGTGTTGCTTAATTGTTTATTTGTAAGCTAACTAACTCTCAAGATTATTTGTGATCTGGATTTATATATAAGCTGTTAAATATGTATGAACTGTTCAAATGGAATGCAAGTTTTTCAAAAGCCCAGGTCTAAATGTAATGATTGGTTTATTGTTCTACAACTCCACTCTATCATTTTCTGTAAATCATAAACAATAAACAGGATATACTCAGTGGTCATTTCTAATATTTAATTGGGCAGTCGTATCACTTCTATAATGTAACCCCTGGAGGATTTAACATTAATGGCAAAGGATACAGCTGTCAAGGAAGTCTGGAGCAGGCTCCCAAGCACATGATTTTATAGTCCTTGAACTGTGATCTAAGAAGGCCCAGCTGTGTAGAAGTGGCTGGTGGATTTGCTTCTGGAAGGGCTCTGAAGAAGTAGTCCTGCTCCCCCTGCCCAACCATCATAGCAGTCCTGTGTGTTCAGCAGAGCCTGACTTCCACACTAACTCAGGACTGCAGGCACCCTCAAAGTTCCAGGATGGACACTGCCTCGATTCAGTGGCTTCTCCAAATCAGGTATGGCAGTATTGTCAAATACTGTTTAGAGGATTCCTCATGCTTTCCAAAAGGTTCAAAAACCTCACCCATTTCAGAAGGGTAAACTGAGAACCATCATGTCTGCATTAAATTAGAAAACTGTAATCACTTTGATTCTCCCTTAATACAATAAACATTTTCTAGAAAAATGCAGTCACAGAAACAGCAATGGCACACCTCTTTCTAGTGCCAAAATCCATTTATAATTGTCATATATTTTTGAAGCCACTGCTTCCAGAGTTGGAGTCACTCAGCACTCCCTATAAGGGATGGATTTTGTTGTTAGAATTTTCACCCAAATGATTTTATAAATAGCACACATGTGAAATTACATAGAAAGGTCCTGTCTCTTGTGTATTGCCACCTCTTCATGTCTTTCTTCAGGCTTCACACTTTTCTCAGATCTTTCATGGTAACTATTCCAGACCAGCTTTCATGGTAACTATTCCAGACCAGCCTGGCATTGGCTCTTTCAGTTTGGCCTGTGGACTGAAGGGTCCTACGTTCAATTCCTGGTCAGGGCACATGCCTGGGTTGTGGGCTCGATCCCCAATGGGGGGGCGTGCAGGAGGCAGCCAATCAATGATTCTCTCTCATCGATGTTTTATCTCTCTCTTTCTCCCTCCCCCTTCCTCTCTGAAATCAATAAAAATACATTATATATATATGTGTGTGTGTGTGTGTGTGTGTGTGTATCTCAGAACTAAACATGGTTCCTCTGTGGTCTGACTAGAACTGGGTCCAGGAGCATTACTGCCAAATTCAGAGTGATTCTCCTATGACTGGTCTATGTTGGTATTATTTTTGTTACCGTACATTACTTGGCAGGTATATCACATTGTTGTCTCTTGTGAGCTTTACAGGCATTGTTGGTAAGTCACATCCATTCCTAATAATTACTTAATTCATCCTTACTAAGTTTAATTTATAAAGGTCCTTATGACCTCTTGATTATTCCTCTTAGCCTGTGTCAGTCCAATTTTGATGAAGCATGCCTTTGGTATTTAGTGGTGGTGTCCAAATCATTGATAAATATTGACCAGAACAGGATGAATGCCACTATAGACTGCCCTCCAGGTGACTTTGATCCATTAGTCAGTACTTTGAATATAGTTGTTGAAGCAACTACCAGTCACTTTTATGCTCATGTTTCTTCATCTTTCCTAAAACAACACTAAGAAATTTTATCATGTTCGGCCGACAGGCAGATTACACTGTATATGGAAATAGCCTTGCCTGCTAAAATCAAGAAAGGAAATGAAGTTAGCAGGTAATACCTCATTCTTAGTGAAACCACCTCCTTTTCCAACTGCTCACATGCCATCACTTTATTAATCTGACCTACAATTTGATAAGTGATCATTGTCGAGTTCATTTTTCTAATTTTTAGAGTTTACTTTTTTCCTCTCAAAAATGTGGTATTTGAAGTAATATGACCTTGACAGGTCACTTAATCCTCTCTGCTTCTGTTTTCTCTATAAAGTAACGAATCTAAATTACCACTGGTTGGTGCATGAATAAAGTTTTTAACAAATGGTCTTTGTTTTGCGTCCATCCTTGTTTGATTTTAACACTACCTTTAGGTTTGATAAACATTTCAGATGAAAACCTAAAAACTATCTTAGTCCCTTCTCAGGAGTTAAAAGAAATTGACAGGTGATCTTTATTAAATCATAATAAATAAAATTTAATAGTAATTTTGCTAAAAGACTACATGCCTGTATGTGGCAATTTATTGCATCTTGGTTATAATCAGTATATAGTTTTAATAGGGGAAAGTGAAAGGAGAGGTCTTTGTCTTTTTTATCTTTTTAAAAAGATACTACCTCATAATCATTCACTGTAACAGAAATTCTCCACAAAGTTCTCCTTTTTTTCCTGTGATTATAACACAGTACTTCTTCTTAATAAGATTCATTGAAAAATGTATTTTTATATTATAAGATTAGTTCCCATTTATGAAGTGCTAAAAATTAGACTTGTGTTAGGCTCTCTGTTTTAGCTAATAATTCATAATGAATTTGAGGTGGTCCCAACTTTACAAATAAAAATTTGAGTCCTGGTTCTTAAGCCAGAGCCTGAGGGTTCTTTCTGGTTCATGCCACCTTCCTAGGTAGGAGCATCCTACCTGATCAACGTTAATAATTAAGTTTTTTGAGATATAGTCTGAGTTTTAAAAATGGGGGTGGGGAGTGGAAGGAGTGTCTGTTCAAATTTCTTTTAAAAAACTATTTTGTTAGTGTTTACTTATTTTGCTAAATTGCTATAAAGAGGCATGTTTGCCTTAAGTAATGTACCCCTTACCAAATTTCTAATGGCCTGGTTAATGAAGTTTCTTAGTCACCACTAAGACCTCGTGAGAACTACTTTTGCCTGATGATTTGGGATCCTTAAATTATTCTGCAGAGACTCTCTGTGCCCTGATAGGTGTATGACATCCAACCAGTGAGACCTCACTAGTGCAGACACCTAGACAGGTGCTAAAGTATCTGGATTTCTTCCTTCAGAAGCCAGGGACATTTGCAGTCACTCCAAAGAGGAGAGACTTTACCCCCAAATTGTTTTATCAGTAGGAAGAGACATTTGACAGGGTTTCCTTTTGATTTCAGTCCTTAAATGCTATTTTAAGTGCTTTCCAGGCATTTAAAGCTATGCTCTAATTCTGTTTGTCTTTTATTCCCATTTTCTTGTTAAGAGGACTCAAGTGTTATAGACAACTGTAGTAAGGGGCTTCATTACATAACATCATACTGACCAGCCTTTGGCCTTACCAAAGAATTCCTCCTCTTGACCTAGACCCAGGATCTGTCAACCCTAGCATTGCAGTACCCTATGTTTGGTACCATTACAGAAGGTCAAATTTTTAATTTTAGTTTAAATTCACATTTAAGGCAGATGAACATAGGGATTGGGAGCTTACAAAACCAATCTTGTCTGGAACGCAAGTTCTAGCCTAGATTGGATGATGGTGAATCACAAGTGCACACCTTCGCCCTAGCCGGTTTGGCTCAATGGATAGAGCATCAGCCTGCGGACTGAAAGGTCCCAGGTTCGATTCTGGTCAAGGGCATGTACCTTGGTTGCAGGCTCAATCCCCAGTAAAGGCCGTGCAGGCGGCAGCCAATTGATGATGTTCCTCTCTCATCGATGTTTCTATCTCTATCCCTCTCCCTTCCTCTCTCTCTAAAAAATAAATAAATAAAACCCTTTTTTTTTTAAAGTGCACACCTTGACTACACCCACATACAAACACCTGAAAGATGTTAAAAAATTATTAAATACAAATTAGCTTATGAAAATAATAGGACATCAGTGTGGCATCCTCCCTGAATTTGCTGGAAAGATGCTTTCATCAAACCTAACAAATTAACTACATATCCTGAGCTTCTGTCCATTTAAAAAATGTTTATCAAGTACCTACTCTGGCACAAAATAGTGAAACCCCCTGGCCTCCTGGAGTGTGCATTATAGCGAGGAGACTATTACATGTCATGTGCCCCATGCCCCCCAGCAGCTGGATTCACTGTATGGGAAGGGTTTCCCCTTGGCCAGGGGCTCACAGAGCCTGAGGAGAGAAACAACCAGAGCAGGGAAAATGAATAAGTGCTGAGCCCCCAAGGGGAGATCGTCAGCAACTACCCTCAGACCCACAGATGTATAGCTATGTTGCTTCATCTATTGGTTGATCTCTTAGGAGCTTCAGTGCCCCAGCAGGTCATGATGTCTCAGAACCAGGGAAGTTTGAAAAGTGTTTCTCAGAAATGGGGCTGAGAAGAATGGACAGAAGCAAACTGAAAAGTGGTTCGCCTTGTTTCCTGTGCTATGTTTTTATTAATTTTCCCCTTTATTTGCTGTACTCTAAGGCATTTACATTTAAGCATCCAGGAAATGGAACATAGAACAGGCAATTCCAAAACATTGCATTCCTACTGGGTACGTAGCCTCTGGTGCAAAATATTTGGGTAACCTGCTGGTGGATCTGGTCTAACACACACTGAGAACTGTCTCAGTAAAGGGCCATTGTCAGGTTGTCAGATTTGCCACATCCTGACTCTCACAACAGTGAACCACATGAAAACAGGCTGTTGCAGCCAGCGTGGTAAGTGCTACGCGATGCAGCTTTAGGATAGCCCCTGCCTACCTTAGCAACAACGTGGCATAGAAAGGTGCCACATCTGGTGAGGAGGGCAGAAATGTTGCACGGCCATTTGGGTTCTTGTGTCTCCCCTTCCCACTGCTGTATAATGCATTTTCCTCCCCAAAATAAAGGCCTTGGAGAACCCCTGAGAGCTTGTTTAATCCATATGTAGGTGAAACGCCATGACGAGGAAGGGGAGTGCAGAGCTGCATTGGATGGCTTCACCGCAGTGCCTGCCATGGCTCTTCTACTTGAAATTTGAGCTTAGGAAGCCCCAGTCTGAGAGCTGCTGGACAAGCCAGCCTGGCCTTTGCCAGAGCAAGACATCTGTTATCTTGTTTAGGGTACAAATCCGTCCTCTGCCCTGGGGGTAGGGGAGGATAACATATCTGTCTTCTAAAACTTTCCTATATAAACGCTTTGAAAAGGCAAAACAAAGCTGTCCGTGCCTGTTTCTCAGAAGACTCCAGACACACAGGAAACCCATGAATTGT